GATCTGTCTCGCGGTAATTAATAATTATATTGCACTTTGGTGTACTTGTTTAAGTTTATTAAATAACTATTTAACTTTATTGTTTAAACTGTTCGCTAATTAAGACAATTTATTGCAATGAGTATTTTTATTTATTTTTTTTCGCTTATAATAATTATACTTTAATCAATAATTAATTAATAAAAAATACTCAAATAACTAGACCAGGGTTTTTAGATTTCAAATCTGTCTTATTTATCAACGGTCGCTCGAACAATTAATGGTATATAAAGATGGATATATATATATAATTTTTTTCTGTTATAATTTCATTTAATATACACATATATATTGATTGGCAATTGCAATTTAAACTGGACTAGTTGCATTAGTCTTTATTTTATTTCTCGTAAATACCGCACACCTCGAACGCAAATACTTTCGATGTCGATCCTAAAATTTTTTACCTGCGAGTTTCATCCGCGGAAAACATTGACGTGAAACTTATTATTATTATTATTTTTTTTTATAAATAATTCGTATCCAAAATAAGTGCCAAAAGTAAAGAAGCGTGACGCCACAACTTTTCGCATTTTATTATAATTTTATTTTTTTTTTCATGATTATAATTTATAATAAAATCAAATACAAAAATAATAAATAAATAGTCGTGTTATCAGACCCGAAAAAAACAAAACCACTCTTTTTTTTTTATTTAATAGTTAATAATAATAATAATCAATAAGTAATCAAATATTTAATATTCAAATTAAAGCAACATTTTTCAAGAAAGTCAATTTTTTTCACACTTTTTTTGTACCCGGAAAAAATAAGTCATATGTGACTTAAATATTTTTATATGAACATACACGGAAAGAACAAGATGACACTGGATATCATCCCAGATTATACTCAGTGATATCTGTGGTGAAAAAAAATTTCAGATAGTAGCTAGCAAACTCCAGATTATACTGCATATCTGGATTATACTCATTATAATCTGAATTATAATCATTGTAATCTAAATTATAATCATTGTAATCTGGATTATACTAGCTACTATCTGAAATTTTTTTTGACTCAGTATATTTAACTCCATAATTAATTTTCAAACATATGAAAAAAATATGATTTATTTTTTCCAGGTTTAAATATTTATAAATGTATATTCAATTGGACATATATACATACTAAGAATTGTTCAAATTCTACACACCTATTGGCTTTTTTTATTACACAATAAAGCGTAATAAACGCATTGGGTTAATTATTAATTTCATTATTATTATTATTATTATTATTGTTACTGTTATTATTATTACTATTATTATTGAAAATTGAAAGGTAATATTAGTAATTATTGTTATTATTATTTATATCATTATTGGTATATAACACAAGTGCGTTTTAAACGCATGACAAATAATTAGTGTACTTTTAATCAGATAATTATCTTAACTGAGCAGTCACCAAAAAGTATCCCGACGTATAATTAATCATATTTTTTTTTTTTTTTAAGGTACATTATTATGTAATTGAGCATAACTTGACTGTACTAGTCTGAATTCAAGTTTCGATTGATTAATTCGTTAAATAATTAATTATTACTCGAGATTCTTTTTGATTATTTTTAAAAAATTCAAACTTCGAGGACGTCTAAAAATTTTGGGAAGCGCGACTTAGATTTTTTATTACCAAAAATTTCAGTGTTGATCCGAAAAAAAATTCAAGCTTTGAGAGATAATTTTTGAGCTTTTGATTTAAAAATAATTTTAAATCCTTGAAGTTTGGTTTATTAACCAAAAAATACTTTGCTTTAAAATATACAACATATTTTTATTTGAAAATTATTCTTATAAATGTATTTTTTTTTTTTTTAATGAGTAATTTTGTTTGAATAATTTTTCGCAATCTTAGCTTTTAAATTACGAATATATACAATATAAATTTTATGTTTTTGTATTTAATGAATAACTATGTTTCGCTAATAACTTATTACGCAAATAACCGCTTTTTGTGAATAAGTAAAAACGAATAAGCCACAAAAATAATTAACTTTTTGTTTTATCTTTTTCATAGTTATCATTATCGAATATTTATATTGGTTTTTATTTTATTTCAAATTACAAATATACCACGTGTCCAATTGATTCAAAATTACGAGTTTAAAAAATCATTTTGGCACCCGAATCCCAAAAATACAATATCAATTTTTTTTTTTTACTTCAAAAATTCTTTTTTCAAGTTAAAAAAGTTCAAATTGAAGAAGCTTAAAAATATAAAATAGTTTGGAAATTTTTTTTTATCAAATCAAAATTAAACAACAATATCGGAATGAAAAAGAAAAGAAAAACAAACTGTCTTATATTTTGAAAATATTTTGTCCATTTAGAACTTTTCCAATAATTAATAAATGAAACAATGAAATTGTATATTTTTCCTTAACCTTTCAATATCAATTTAAAATTCTTGACCACACTAACACTTTATTAAAATACATAGAAGTATAAAAACAGAAAAAATAATAAACAATTTACGTTAAATGTTACTTTACTTGGCAATAATAACATATCCAACACTAAGCGTCGACTAATAAATAAAAACAAACCTTTGGCCATTAAATAATTCTCGTTACTTCTACAAACTAATATTGGCCATACAGTATAAACTTAAGAAAATCTTCAACGCAATAACCATCAGCAATTTATTTAATTGAGCCGCCACTTGGCTTACATAAGCCCAAACAAGACCGAACCAAACAAAAGTGAACATAAATTGGATAAAAACCGCGGAAATTAAACTGATATGTGTCCATTCTTTCTCGTAATTCGTTTACGGTATACCTATTATTTTTACATACAATATTTTTAATTAATTAAAAAATTAAAAGCAATCGTCTTCAAAAAGATCAATTTTATAAAACAAATAAGCAAAATTTATTGTTTCTTTCTCGGTATCCTTTTATGATTCGTATTGTTTAAATAATTATTATTATTCATTAGTTTCCAGAGTTAGTCACAGCCTGCTTGTATAGTCATAAATTTTCTACCATACCATGTAACTAACTTACAATGCATTAAAAAAGCTCGAACTCATTTTACTCAAAAAAAATTTTTTTTGAGTAAAATCACAGCTCGGCTTTTTTTTAACGCACTATCCTACAAAGTTTCTCGCCTACGTGAGCCTAACCGAAACATGATTTTAATTTTATTGAAACGTGATTTAGTGATCTGTAATCCTCCATTATTAAATAATGTATTTTTTCTTTTAAATACAACTCTAACATCACTTAAGTTTGGCCCTGTATTTAATTTTGTACGAAAGTTACGTTTAAAGACCGGAGTGAGGCACTATTTAAATATATTTATTTAGCTTTTTTTTTAATTATTATATTTACTTCTTTAAAAACTTTAAACATCAATTCTTTGATCCTCCATTTATTCTCTCTTTTGCTTTTTATTCTTCCACCCTAATGAGAAAAATTATGGCGACAATATTTTCCGCAATAAAATTCTAAGTATTGCTGTTGCTTAAAAACAAATGCGAACATTTTAAATCACAACTTTAAGTCAGTGTTATTTAATTTTTTTTTTTAATTAATTAACTTTATCAATTAATATTAATGTTAAGTAAATGTAAGAACATGAGATCAAAGTTTTCGACCATTTTCCTTCGATGTAAAAAGTTTAACTTAAAAAATGAAAACAGACGCCAATATTAATATTAATAAAAATAATAATAATAATAATAATGATTATAATAATAATAGCAATGATAATATATTAATATTAATAAAAAACAGACAAACGAAAACCAAATATTAAATAGCAGCATAATTTTGCCGCATTAAATAATAGTAATAATAATAATAATAATGAAATTCATATATTTATATATATATATTCATATATATATATATATTGATATTTTAATAACTAAAATAACTTCAATTATTTTTATTTTTACAACCATCTGTAACACTCATGATTATTATAATTTAAATTTAGATAAATAAAAAAAAAAACATTAATATATAATGCCGAGGCACCGCGTTGAAGCGACATACCCTCAAAATATTATTAAAATTTTAGTAAAAAAAAACTTAAGCTATTAATTGCTTTCTTACTTAAGTATATTGTGTTTTAATTAATAATAATATAATAATATTAAATATATTAATGAAAGTTTCTAACGATATACACAACAAAAGAACTAACGACCTGGTTAAACAAACTCTAACAAATAATAGCTCTTGATTTTTAATTATTATTATTATTATTATTATTATTATTACAATAATCTTAATTAATAGGTTGTAAAACCTTACGATTAATTGCAATAAATAGTTATATATTTATAAATATTAATAAAATAAATGAAACGAGCTTTGTTTACTGTCGTTAGAATCCTTCTCTCTTTCTTTACTCGGTAAAAAATTCATATCTTTCTCTTATCATCTAGTATACTACAATACATACAAAAACTCTTATTAAATAAGTCAATTTATTATTCATTTATCATTTATATTAATTCATGAATAGTTAATATGTATATCATACAATAATGACCAACTCGGATTTAAAAAAACAACAAACGAGCGACCGCTTAATTATTTTATTATTTTAAATCCTTCCGATTAGATTATTAGAGCTGTATAGTAAATGTTTGTAAGAGAAAACAACAAAAAAAAAAAAAAACTATTTAAATTGCCCGTAGCAACAACGGCAGACGGCAGTGAAAGACTAAGGCGCGTTTTCATGGACTCGACACGCCATTTTGTCGACAGACTCTCGATAAGTGAGTTTGGAAGTTATATCGAGTTTAAATCTGTCTAACCAAATATTTATCAATAATATTATAAAATAAATAATACCCACGTAAAAAAAAAAAATGTAAGTCCTAATTATGCTGATAGTTGAAAAAAAAATTTACGATTACCATTACAATATTTTACAGCAAACGGTGACGTGGATGGAATAATTAATTCCAATTAATAAATAAATCCAGGGGATTAATAACCTCTAAAAATTCGGCCAATCACTGTTAACACCAATCCCAGAAAGCATATCAGCGACATCTGGCGTACAAGTGAACGGAAAAGCTGGCTCTACGCTACTTGAGCTTGTGGATTCGAATGACTCTAGATCACTCGTTATCGATTCAATGTCGAGATCCAGGGCTGAATTGTACTCGGAGGTCGGAATCTGAAGCAAATCCGTGAGGGAATCTAGATCTGCTAGACTGCCATCAGTGACAGCTGCGGTGGGAATCGCTGGCTCTTCTATTTTAATTGTCGGGTGGTTGTTTATGGAAAGACCACCGGTAGGAAGCATCGCCGACGTACTTCTGTCGACAGGTTCTTGCTTTATCAGGACGCTGTTGTAGTTGTCGAGATGCAGGGGGTTGGACGGACATGAGAAATTGGTGCTTCTTCCGAGTACAAAGTCCCGGTGGATGTTATGCCGGTCATTCGTGAATTCTGACCCGAACTCTAGGTCGTTTTCTTCCTTTATTTTGGGCTGCAAGTTATTGTTGTGATGGTTGCTGTTGTTGTTGTTGTTATTGTTGTTGTTGTTGTTGTTGTTGTTGTTGTTGTTATTGTTGTTGTTGTTGTTGTTGTTCATTCTGGTAGCACCTGGGACGTTGGTGGTGGTGGTGGTTGTGAGGGCCAGGTGGTCGTGGTAGTTGTCCTCGTAGAAGCTCGCAGATTCTGGAGAATCTGGAGTGTCACAAGAGGGGCTGCTGGGTACTTTAGCGGTGACATTGGGCGGAACTGGAGTGTAGTCCATGGAGATGGGCCTTTTGTCGAGGGCGAGCTTTATCTTTAGCCTGGAGACCGGGTTGCTGGAGACGGGGTGCCCTTGGAGCCTCTTGAGGGGCGTTTGGTGGTGGCTATTGTTGTTGTTGTTGTTGTCGTTTCGGGACTTGGTGGATATTGTCGTGGTGGCAGTCGTTATCGAGGGGCTGGCGGGGGCGTAGGTCGGCGATGACAACGGCGAGGACGACGTGGAGGACGATGTTGATGACAAGGAGGACTTCTTTGACTTCTTGGTGTCTTTGGACTTAGGGGGCGACGGTGGCTTCGCGGCCTTCTTCCGCGGACGGTATTTGTAGTCCGGGTACTCCATCATGTGGAGCTGTCGCAGTCGCTCGGCCTCCTCGATGAAGGGCCTCCTTTCGGCGTCGTCCAACGTCTTCCAGCGCCTGCCCAGTCGCTTGCTGATCTCCGCGTTGTGCATGTCCGGCTGCACCTCGCAGATCTTTCTACGCTCGATTTGCGACCACACCATGAACGCGTTCATCGGTCGCTTTATGTGGTTCGGGTTGTTTTTCTTTGTCTGTAACATAAATAAAATTTTTTTTTATTTTAATTTCAATTGGTGATAATTTGTATGTTAATATGGGAAGATAATTACAGAAATTAAATGGTTATTTTACAAGTATGAATATATATAAATTATATTGTTAAATAAGGTCGTGTTTATTAATAAAAAAATTTTTATTTATAGGAATAGTATAAACAGGAAAAAAATATTAATTAATCATTTTTATGAAGTTAGCAGACGTCTAAAAATTTTTGATTTTTTTTATTAATTAAATTACAACTAAATATATATTTATAAAAAATTGTACTTATAGTTTTTGAAGTTTTTTAGATCTGAAATTTTTTTTTTAAATTGTTCAATAAAAATTTTCTAAAAAGTTTGAAATGTCGGCTAACTTAATTTTCATAATTAATTAATTATTTTTGACGTAATTTATTTTGAACAGTTCATACTATAATGCATTTTTCCAATTTACAAATTGGAAGATTTTTTGATACTAAATTTACAATTTTTTCCTTAAAAATATAAAATTTTTAGTATCAGAAATAAACATTTAACTTATTCTATAAGATTTGAATAAAATTTTTCAGAAAAATAAAAAATTAAAGAGTAAAATTAAAATTGTTCCCCCTTTAAAATAAATAATTGACAGTAATTGATAATTTTTTTCAGTCTAACGCCCCAGGTCAAACGTAACTAGGTCAGCAAGCAAAGGACTCTGATGAAATCCAAAATAGTGAATAACTATTTGAATGTGTATCAAGTTACTGAGACGAAATTACTCGCCCGGAGGATAGATAAATAGATATAATGGCATGTATGTTAAGTGAAACGGAAAGAGGGCTGCACATCTAAGTGAACACCTGGATGTAATTTGACTTTCATATCGTCCGGCAATAAAGATCCACCCTCAACTCGCATCGACCATTACACCGAATTTATTAACACGATTCAACCACACCTGCTCTGCTACTTTTTACATGCCCCTTTACGTACTTCCGCGTTAGCCAAAATGCGATTTATTTTATTTTGTTTCACGTCAAATTGCTTTATGATTTTTATTTTCGCGCTAATGGATATCGTTGCTTCCACTCCGCCGTCTAGTGTCCAAATCAAGACTTGATGCGCATAAGAATTTATGGTAATTACTAATTAGGTATTCTCATAAACCGAGAAAATGATGAGACAAAATACATTATTATAATTTTACATATGAGAACGTGGAAGGAGGTGTATAAGTGTGCGATGGCGCCACAGTTTAACCAACATAACATCAAACAGGAACTTGTATTGGGCATTTAGAGGCAATCAGTCGCTGGCGACTCACTGTCGCGTCTTAAATACTGATCTGTTCAGTAACAGTTAAATCTTTACTTGTACTTGTACTGGATTCAATTCAAGTACTTGATACATACATACATGCATATATATATTTAATATTTTTCCGCATTTACCGCCAGCTGGTTTTTGTTTTCAATTTACACAGATCAAAATTTTTTATTTTTTATTTTTTAAGTTTAAATAAATTATTAATATTTCAAATTTTTTGTTTAGAGAGTTAATAATTTAAAAAATTATAAATTTTGATTAAATTATGAAAAGTATTATTGTAAAATATTTTTGAAACATTTTTAAATTCGATTAAATCAAGCCGTTTAAAAAATATTTTAAAATAAAAAAAAAAATTTTTTAAAAGCTGAAAAATCTTTCAATTTTTTATTTAAAAAATGGCACTCTCAGGTAATGTCAAACGTGAATTGAAAAACAAGCAGCTGAAAGGAGCAATTAATATTAATAAATTATGCATGTATATAATTTGAAATTAACGTTTGAAGTATATTATTAACTAACTTATTCAGCAAGTATATTAAATATACAGTGTGTATGTTAATAAAGAGAAAACGAAGGTATTTTCTCTTATTGCTTAATAACTAAAGTTAAACCCACAAGTTCTCACGACAACTTTTGTCACCTCTGACGCTACTGGAAAACTCGTCAGGCTGGTATTATATTATGATAATAATAATAATAATAATATATGTAATTCCTCAGTTAGCGTAAATATAGTTAGTAGTTGTCCCAACTTGTTCTTACGATAGTTTTTGTTTTACCGTTTCAATGTGTTCACAAGCTTTTAAGCATCACCGGCTGGATACTACAAGACATCATCAAGTTCAATAATGAGAAAAAACGCGCTCAGATTTAACAAGAAAAATTCAGCAAAAGGACTCAAATCAGGATTTTATATTTAGTTGTAGATTAAAAGAGACTCTATTTCTGTCGCGCTGAATATTGAATAATACTCAGCAGTATATTTTAACATAATGTTGTAGAATTTTTTTTTTATTTGCTTCACGCTCTCTAATTGAAAATTTACATCTCTAATTTTTTGGAGTTTAAATAGAATAGAAGAAAAATAAAAACTAAAATATTTCTCGACTGTACAAGAAATATTTTATTTTTTGTTTGTTTATTTTTTATTTACTTATATATGTACAAGTATACATTATTATTACGCATACTTTTTTTACCCATATTTCCTATTAACTCAACTTGACTCTGTAACGGTAAAAGTAATAAAAGTTTTTGAGTCGAGAAAGAGGCGTCATAAAGTTAATGGTTAAAAGGTGCCGAATATGTTGGAAGATTTCCTATATCAATTTAATAACACCGGGGTCATTATACTCTAACAACCCGTTACCAGATAAAGTGAGTTAAGGCTCAAACGGGGAAAATGAAAAATTAAAATTAAAATAAATGAAAATTTTTTTAGAAAAAAAATTTAGCCCTATTTTAGAGGATTAATTTAAGATTTTTTTTGGCAAAATTTAATTTAAATAAATTTTGTAAAAAATTGTTTAAAATTTTTCATACTTTTTTCTAAAAAAAAAAAAAAAAAAATAAAGATAAAGAAACAAAATATAACAAACAATTTACAGCTGAGCTTCTTTTTATTTTTATCAAAAGAAGTAAAACGGACGGCCTCCTAAATCACATTTTATTTATATATTTCTCCACCAAGAAAGTAAAAAAAAAAAAGTAAAAGTACAAAGTACTTTAAAAGGTGAGTAAAATCTAAAGTCTTCATTTGATTTCTCCGGCGAATAAAAGTAAGGGTGCCGTACGTCTGCAGTCTACTTTCGGGTCACGCTTCCATTTACTACAAAGTCAAGCAGAGTGTGAGTAATAATAAAAAATATAAAATATATATCTTCAAACGTGCATAACACACACGCAACCTGTACACGCTAAAACTCGGCTATAGATCTCTGATCAAAAGAACGCATTTAACACTGTTATTTTTCATTTTCTTTATTCTTCACCCCCGTATTTTTTTTTTAACTGCTCGTAAAACCCACATGAAACATCAAAAATTTAAAACATTTAATTTTTTTCGTTGTATATTTTTATACTTTTTTGACAAAAGTTTTAACTGGTAAGATGAAAGGAAAATAAGATGGTAATGAATGATTAAAAAAGGTTGCTGGCATTGAGTATGGATATGTGCCAAGTACGTGTTAACCCTAGTTATATATGTTAGAGGATTTAACCACCTGGCCTACTAACTTGCCAATTTATTATTTATAATATATAAACATAATTATAATTATAATAACAATGCGGTAATAAAAATAAAGAATAAAATAACAATAATAATAATAATAATAATCTATTAAAATTAAAAATGTATGAAAAATTATGAAAATGAAGTTAACCGACATTTCAAAAATTTTAGAAATTTTTAATTGATAAAATGTCAATTAAACAATTAAAAAAAAAAATTTCACTTCTAAAAAACTTGAAAAACTATAAGTGCAATTTTTTAGAAATATCTTTTTAGTTGTAATTTAATTAATAAAAAAAATCAAAAATTTTTAGACGTCTGCTAACTTCAGTGTCATGAAAAGTTATTGTTATCTTATTATTATTAAAAACGGATTAATAAATTAAAATGAATACATATATTTGTATAAATATGAAAGTATGCAGAATAGTACTCGGATAAACTGATAATTATGCTGCAGTGCGTGTGCTTGAGACATCACATCAAAGTTACTAATAATGTAAGCGATTTAAAACGCTTACAATGACGCGGCTGCAAGGTCTCAGATAATTATTCTCAGCTATTGCAGCTAGCATCAATTCGCAGTGAATATGTGGATACCGATTTACTGGCTTTGTTTTAATACCCAGCTCATGTGTGCAGACATCACTCGTATGTGCATACCTGTATGCGCCCGTTTTCAATAATTATAGTAATAGTATTATTATCGTATGCAACACCATAAAACTGCGGTAGGTATGTATTATATGTTATGTATAAATATATATTCATGTGCATATTCAGGGGCAAGGTGTATTAGCTTTGGTTAGCAATTAGCCTGATACCGAGTGTAAGGTTTCAGAGGACATATGCCGCGTTTATTTATTATATTATTATACACCGATCCGATTTCTCAAGAACTAGATTGTATTTATTGTTGTTAAAGGGGTAAGAAATACAGATAGATGTATTATATTATCTGATATGGTTTTACTATCATTATTATTTTATTTTATTTTATTTTTAGGGGATCGAACCAGCGATTTGAGAAATAAGTTTCAAATGGAAAATAATAGTATAAAGTTTGAGTATTTTTTTTTTTTATTGAAATGACCGCGACCTCGGTAAATTTTTTTATAAAACTTTAATTACAGGGAATTTGAAAGCTGAAAAAAGGGAGAATTACAGTTCTAAAGTAGTAACGGTGCGTTTTATAAATTTGAGTTATCGACGGTAAATATAAGTTGTTGAGAAATAATAATTTAAACGTATAGAGAAATTATAGGATTCGTAGACCCTATTCGTGAATTATACAAATGAAGGGGTCGGCTAAAAAAGTAGCATGAGTGTCGTTTTATTGTTGTCTTTCCCTCCCTCAAAAAAATTTGAATAATCAAATGGAATATTGTATTGATGATATAAGTAAAATAATTAAGAGTTATAGACACGTAGTCTGGAGCTTGGAATCTCGGAGCGATCAAACGTGTCACGTACGCACAAATGATCTCTACTCATACATTCTAACTTAATGTAATCTATAAGCACTTGCGGCTTGGCTCAGTAAGTCTGATTGTAAGGAAACCAGTATAAGTACGCATACTACTACTTATACTCATTACTCAGTACTCTCAGAGAGTTATTGCCGAAGGCCATGATACCGAGTTGAGATGCAGGCTTGCCTCTACAAGTGACCTTAAGTCTTCTCACTTCCGTCAGCTGCAGGCTAATGGTGAATAATATATAATAATATTCATAAGCTTCTCATGTTTTTCTTATTACACTTAACTTTTTATTTATTTATTTACTTATATTCGTTATAATAATAATAATAATAATAATAATAATAATTATTATTATTATTATTATTATTATCATCGAAAAGAAAATTGAATTTTAAATTAGTTAAGTATAGAAAAAACTTGAAATAAATTAATAATAATAATAATAATAATAATAATAATAATAATAATAATAATAATAATAA